GCTCAGCTCGGGACGTGAATCGAACTGGCAACCCTGTTGCTCAGGGCTCGCACTCTTGAGTGAGCTCTTAACCAACTGAGCCACTCGGCCGGCCCCTAGAGTCTATTTTTAAAATCATTTAAAATTTCACAAGAATAGTTTTGTGTGTTTTTGTTTTATTTTGACTAAAACTCATTTTACTTAGATCAAGTTTAACTGCCCAGATTCTCTCTAACCTTTGGGTAAGTGTATTTAGACAAGGAAGAATAGTTTTTTAAATGTTAGTTGAAATGTAGAATCTGAAGCAGTATTTTAAAAATTATGTTGTATTAAATAAAATTCATTAGCCTTTCTTGTACTTTAAATGGGTCTTTTGTCATGCATGATTTTGTAAGCGTATGCTTTTGTTGTTAGAAAATATTGGTTCAATGAGTTATGTAGATCTTCCAAATGTTGACACATTTAATTATATTATGTCAAAACTTTGCATTTGTTAATATCACCATCAATCTCATCAGAAAAAAAATGTATAAAAATTGGGAAGCTATCAAGTTCATGGTGGCAGCAACATGTTTTGCGAAATTCTAATTTTCACTTGTTTGCTCAAATTTTATCACTGGCAACAAATACTCTTAGTTGTTTTTCTTAAAGTGACAGTCTTACTTCATTCATTTTCAAGAAAATGTCTGTCAAACATTGTGAGAAAATATCTGCCAAGTCTGAATAACCATATTTGTCAGTCATTCTTTCAAGTAAAAAAATCGCATTCCAACAAAAAAGTGGCTAGTTCAGCTAGAGACTCAAACAATTGCACAAGTGCTTTTCTTCAAGATAACCATTGTATTTGGTACAAATAAGTGCTTTATGTGTACTTCCTTCATCATGAAAAATATTAAAAAGATATGTTCTCAAGGGTTGAGACTTAACAAAATTAATCATTTTACCACTTCTTCAACAACATTCTGAAGTGAAACCGTTTTTTTGTTTGTTTGTTTGTTTGTTTGCTGTGAGTACATGGGCAATTAAGAATACAATATGGTCTAGGGCTACTGCTTTCATTCAGCTAAGGTCCAGTAGTTTTACCCACTATTGCTTTTGTACCATCACTGCAAATGTCACCACAGTGAGAAAGGTAAATAGTGTCTTATATTGTCACAGAGTTTTGACCTCAAGGACCCCTAGAACTGCACTCTGAGAACCACTGACTCAGGTACCCATATTTCTGACTTCTCCATTACCCTCCAATTTGGCCAAATAACTGTCAAGGTGGAAAGGAAACCTGAATGTTCCTGTCACGTCCACAGAGATGAACCTGTTTCATTTTCCTTTACCACTGCTCTGATGTGGAGGAGCGTCAGGAAGCAAGATCACCTAAAATTTTCCCTTTCCACAGTTCTCTAAAACAGGGTTCCCCAGCCTTTTTCAGATCATGGCAGGGAGAGAAAATACTATTTTTATTAAGGAGTAAAGGAATGAGGCTGCCTAAGGCTTGAGGTCTCTAGCCTGGAGGTATAGGCCCTACACACCTTTGGGTGAACGTAGGGGTCAGATGTGCCCACTCCCAGAGGGTATGCCAAGACACATGAGCCAGACAGTTACTCATATGTACTAAGCTTCTCAACACACGTGGGGCTCTCAGGCTGGAGGGTGTCTGTTCCTCAGCCAGGTTCAAGCTTCATAAAAGTCTCAATGCTTAGTCAGATATGGGAATGCACAAAGTATCTGACTGTATTTAATGGCAGAACCCAAGTTATATGAAAGATTTAATGTACTTGAATGTAAATTGTCCAGAACACTTTCAGATATAGTGTAATGATTAAGAGAGCAGAATCTGATTCCAAGACTACCAAGGAGTTCAAAGCCCTGGCTTTGCCACTTACTGATCTTGGGAAAGTAACTTAAGATCCCAGTGCTTCAATTTCTCCACCTATAAAATGGGGACAATAATAGTGCATACCTATTTGAAGTATAAAATGAGTTAAATATATAAAAAGTGTTTAGAATGATGCCTGATACATGGCAATGCTCTCTATTATTATCACGCAGACGCTATAGGGTCTCCTAATTGGGACTACTTCTTTCAACATGACAATGTTGAATTGTAGATTTGCAAAGAAAGAGAATCCCAGAGATAACAAGAGGCTCAATATTAACCTGCAGGGTTTCAGGTCTACAGTAACATGTTGGAGCAGGGAGGGAGAAAGATGTGAAAAGAGAGGAATGGGCCCTTTTAGTTTGCTTATGGCATCCATCAAGGGTTTATAGTCAAAATCTTCTTTTATCTATCAAGGCACCACTACATGAGTTTCTATATGCTTATAATGCATATAAGCCTGTAAATATATTATTGCGTTGTTGGAAAAGTCATGAAGCATTTTCACAATGAAAAACATAGAAAAAATATGTCATGACTTTTCTGACAATCCAATATTTTTTTCTTGGAAGGGACCATGACTCAAAAATAATCGTTTCAGACTATCTACCCATCCACTTCTTGCCAAAGGTTTTGTTTGTTTTTTTCACGATGGTGTCAGGAGTTGTGGTTGGATGAGCCTCAGGCTTCGAGAGCCCCCCAGAAAACTAGAATAGGTGATCCAAGGCTGGGACTGTCCCAGACACATCAGATGACTACTTCTTTAGTTTGGGTTAGATGTGATTTTTTTTTTTTCTTTAGTAAATGGTTTTGGCAACTATTTAGCCTGGCTCATTAGATCATTATAATTCATTAAGAGTTTTAGGTTACATATGGAGCTGAATGATTTCAAGAGTCCTCTTCATGCAAGTATTCAATAGCTGTATTGCCACAGTTTTAAAGTTGCCAAGAAATATACATTATCATAACAAGAAAACAGTCACAAGTGAACAGACCACTTAAAAATGTAGCCCTTCCTCAAACATCCCTCACAGCTTAATACTAGTAACGTAACCCCACCCATCATGTTGGTGTCTTTTGTCAGTCATTCAGTTCTTGTCTGATGCAGTAAACATCCTACAATTACAATGTAGATGAAAAGCAAACCTATCCATGCAAAGCCACTGAAAAATGAAGATCTTGCCAACTTGAAGAAAAAACATCAACAAGGTTAATGCACCACAAAAAATGTAAAAGAAAGTAATTGAAATATTCATGAATTAAAATATTTTGAAAAAACTGATGAAATCTTTAAATATTTGTGTAAAAACGATATTCTATGCAATTGAACAACCAAATCATGAAGTATAGGATGTACTAATTTATCAACCTAAAATTTTGTCAAGAAGGTTATGTAAAAAGTAAATAGCAATTTGATCATTGTTATCCTAGGAATTCAGTTCATAGTTGCCATTATAATCCATATTTTTGTCAAATAAGATAGAGATGACTTATTTTTATGCGTTATTTCCATTTTTCAAGATAAAGTCGCAACTCATGCTATTCCTCACTACCCCCAGACAATAGACTATGAAGATTTTGGTCCTTAATTAACAGTCATTTCCTGGTACTAAGTCTCCTGAAATGATGAACACATTAAAAATACAGATAAATAGGGGTGGCCGGTTAGCTCAGTTGATTACAGCGCAGTGCTCATAACACTAGGTTGACGGTTCAATCCCCACATGGGCCACTGAGATACACCCTCCACAATTAGAATGAAACAACTACTCAGCTTGGAGCTGACGAGTCCTAGAAAAACACACTGTTCCCCAATAAAATTTATATATAAATATATATATATAAAAGATACATATTTTTATCTACTCAGTACCTGCTCAAGGAGACCACCTTTGCCTTAGTAACCCCAGGATACAACAGGTCTGTTCTTGCCTTTTCCTCTCTAGGTCCCCTTTTGTGACAGGAGGAGCAGCTTCATCTTTCAGATAGACAAGATTTTTCTCAAGTTTATTTCTCTGGCAAGGCATATGAAACTTAAATGGAAGCCTTAATAGAATTTTGTCTGGTGATATTAGGTTACTAGGGAAGATTGATTCAGCAGAAGTAAAGGGTCCATATCACCCAGAATGACTTCCACTAACAGAGATTGGCATTATCACCTTGTCAGAGGGTCCTACTTGATCCTAAAACTTATTGGTTTTAAAATGCTTTATTTGTGTAATAACAATTGTAGACCAGATTCATCTCCCTGGTTTAAAAATTACAAATTTACGTTGGTTAGAAGTGAGTAAGTCACTAGCCTTTAAGAAAAGTACTGATGAAATGGCTGGCAGGTATAAATAAAGACTTTCTCTTCTCCCTGACTGAAAAACAGTTCTTTTTTAGTTACCTCAAAGTCAAGATAAATCAGAGGCCAGTAAGAATGATGATTTATACATGACAATTGAAATGTTATGCTTAAAGTCATGTGTAATTTGGATTTACTTCAGTCTAAATGTATTGAATATCCATTGAGTACTGAGAATTCCAGAGCTTTTAAAAGACAGAATTTATATCTATAATGAATCTGTAATTAAGGTCTTTCTCATGTATATATATATATATATACATGTATATATATACATTTTTTCTCTGTTGCATATATTATTATATAATATGCATGTCACCATTATAGAAATTCATTTTCTTTGACCCTGGCCCCAATAGGTCAGATATTATGACAATAATAGATGGGCAATGAGAACAAGAGATGGAAATTCTTTTATGTCATACTTCCTTGGGTCATGGTAATATTACTTCATCTTCCTTTCCCCACATACTAACCTCACCTCAATTAAAATAAAAATTCTCTTATGTTTGGCTTTTATAATATATTCTTAAAATTGATTTTAATTTTGCTTCTAGCAACAGTTGACAGTTCTCTCAGTATTTCTAATTTTGCTTTTGAGTCCTCCTAAGTGGAAATTTTGTGCCAATATCTATAAAAAGCACATGGCATATACGGATGTGTATTTCCCTTCAAGAGACTTTGAAATCAGTCCTGACTCTGTGAATAGTATTTTAAAATCTGAAACAGGCAGAGAGCAGAAATATGAAGAATTTTAACATGTGAAAAGGCCAAGGAGTCTGGACGCGTCTGGATACTTACTCTCTCACATAGCTCTTCAAATGTGCAGTCGGCAACGGTTCCACAGGCTTTATTCAGCCGCAGCTCTCTGCCTTGCACTTTTAGAATCCTTGGTCTAGTTACTATGGGAACATGAACAAAGACTCAATCTTGTCTGGATAATTACTATAAAATTCATCTCTTACAGATAGGAAATGCATAGCTTGATGAATAATAGCACATGATTCAACACATAAATTAGACAAAATGCTGATACAATGACTGCCACTTGAGCGTGGCATCAACCCATATACAGCAATGGAACTTATTAATTGGTCAGTGGAGATTGGGCATTGTGTTCTAAATGTATTCTCTTTCAAGAGAAATTAACTTACGTACAATCATTTTGTTTCTGAGCCAGCTCATCAAACAACTTATCCATGACAGCCTCCACATCAGCTTCACTTGTGCTACAGTGAAAAGAATAATAGAATATGAAATTAATAACACTTGAAGCCAACATCAAACAGCTGCCAGAGCCTGCTTAGCTTTTTGCCCATAAAAAAAGAGAACAGGATGTTATGCTCTAAATACAAACATTAGATTTAGAATACACTTAAAAGCAGAGAATATTAACTCTCAGGTAGATGATTCTGCCTTATTTGCATACACTGAAAGACTTCTGTGCTTCTGGCTGTTTCCAGTAATGAGACGATACAGGCAGAGTAAATCCATTAATACTATGTGTACACAATGAGAAGAAAGGCTCCTGGCTCTCTCTTGCATGCCAAACAAGAGCAAATAGACAAGGCAGTCAAGCATCCAGCAAAGTATCCTTTGAAATCTCTACTGAGAGGGCACATGTGAAATTAAATATTAAAGCTGCTTTTAAAAAAAATCAAGTCAAGTCACTGGCTAAGAGGATCAAACATCCAGAATTAAATTACCAGCTTCGAAATACCAACTTGATCTGCACATCAATAACTTTATCAGACTTTGAGTATTAGGACAATTACAAACCAGTTTCTCTCAAAAGTGTCCTTGCCAGAAATTCAAGGAAACTCTCTCCTTCTATGATGCCTCTCCTTCTATGATGCCCACCATTGCAGCTTCTATGAAATTAGTCTCTTCAAAGAATCTTTTGTATTCTAATTAGAAATCACCATATGGTTTAGGGAACACACATGTATAAATGTGATAATAATATGGCCTTTTTTCCTCTCACCTTTTTTTTCTCCAAAGAGGGGTTGATAAATTAACAGTCAATAAATAACTGGTAGAAGAAACAAATGCTATTAAAAAAAAAAAACTTCAAGTGAAAATGCAAGTCTACTTCAACCCCTCATACAAACTTATACAGGAAGACCTGCCAATATGCTTAATTTTGACACACAAATCACTCTTATCTATGTGTGGAAGCAATTAAACGCAATTCTGGATATCCATCTTAATAAAGTCTTACTGAAAACTAATATGACAAATTATTTTCTCTTTAGCTTAAGCTTAAACTTAACCAAACTAATTTCTCCCTTGAGATAATAATCAGGTGGCAGGGCATTCAACACACAAGCACTTAATTCTTCAACTACTCTATAGAAAATGCTTTTAAAATGCAACAAAGCACACAGTCATCATGAAGGATTTGGAATTGTCATATTCCAAGTAATAACCACTCCACCTCAAAGGATCTTAAAAACATCATTTGCAGCGGTTAACTTTGCAGGGGAAATGTTATTTGACTTATATAAAAAGCCTTGTACAGCATTTGAAAAGAGCCGTATTAAGATAATAAAACGATACTACAGAAAGAGTGATTATAAGACAAAAAACAATTTTAGAGGTACAAAGAAATAACGAGCCAACGTAAATGTCAGTGCCAAGCACAAGCATGTTTAGATGGCTTTGCCCACATCATTCTTGGGAATTCATTTGGAATTGTCTCCACTTTGCAGTGGTGGTGTACATACGCACAACTGATGGAGAAGTGAGCTACTTTTTAAGAGATATAGAAAAGTGAGAGCAATATCAGCCCCCTAGGAAGTCTGCTGGCTACAGAGGTTACCCACTATAGAGGGAGAATTGAATTCTGAAAAATTACCATGACAGAAGACAGTTACATTCTAAAAGCATATTTGGTGAATAAACAATTGCTTACAAACTTCCTCAGCAGTGATTTCTTTTTTACTCAGTGCTCTAACATACTGTAATATTACAATGTGGCCCACTAGACTTTAGTCAGGCCACACCTTCTACGTCATGTATGAAATTACTATATGTGATTTCATTTCTGGTGACATTATATGTGAAATTACACAACTATTTTTATTATAACCATATCTTATAAGAATTCTATTATATTATCATAAACTGTTACTGAGAAGTTATAACATGCAAAATAAAAAAATGTATTGGTGTTAAGTGGCCTAAAAATAAATATTCATAAAAGCAGTTTCTGTAACTTACAATTGAAGACACTTGTTCATCTAGGCCAATTTGCATTTGACCTCAGGGAGTAAGTTCTACTAACCTGCTGGGGACAGGAACCTTGTCTTCATATTGTCTTAAAAGCAAAAGGGGCTAGTGTGTATTTTGGTTTTATTAGATGTATCTGTACTGATAATATAAGAACAAGTAAGAATGATAGGAAATAAATAAATAAGAATGCTAGGAAAGAAATCCTCGTCAGAAAGAAATGCATTCCCAATCCCTTAACAAATGACTTATAACAGTAGTCTTCCCACATTCCACTCAGACTTCAGGTTTCCCTACTCTTAAGAGGATTCATCAATCAGAGTTCAGTAACTTTTTTTTAAGGATGTCAACTAGAAAAGTAAAAGGAAAGCTTAAAACTTACTTATGTAAATTAGCCTAAAAGATTCAGTTTTACTTATTATCCAGGTTCATATCTGGTTTAAATATTTTTGAGTATGTTTGTAATTCTAGTAAAAGTTCTGGATGATTCTTAACTATTTTAATGTGTCATACAGGGAATAACTAAAGCTATCATTTGTTCAGCAACTATTATGTAGCAGTTAATTTACCTAAACCACCCCCACCTCACCATGTAGTATATGTTATCCCATTTTTACAGAAGAGAAAAACTGAGATTCAGAGAACGAAGTCACTTATATAAGATCTGAATACAAAAAAATTAAAATTTCATGTATTACAGAAAATATTATAAATAAAATATACAGGCATTTCAAACCAGGAAATATAATGGCAACATTTATGGCAGACAGTATTATCAAAGTATAAAATACTGCAATAGATTAAAATAAAAAATTGAATACCCCAATAGAAAAATTGTTAAAGGACTTGAACAGCCAAACGCATTAAAAAAAATAGCTCAATAGGCAAGAAGTATGTGTAAAATTGTTCATTCATACTAGTAATAACAAATGCAAAGTAAAGCCATGAGATGCTATTCTTTTATCCAAACTAGCAGAGATAAGGAAAAAGATAAACTGCTCAGAGCAAGCATAGGTATGTGGAAAAAAGAACCCTCTTATTACTACTGCTGGGAGGGGTGAAAAACTGGTACAAGATTTCAGGGCAACCAGAAAATATACAATAAGAATATTAAAAGCATGCATATGGCATCACCCAGCTATTCCACTCCTAGCAATCTCACCTATGGAAATAATAATGGTTAACGACTATAAGGATGTGCACTGTGGCACTGCTAACATCAAAAAAAATTTTTTAAAACCCAAATGTCCAATGATGGGGAATTCGGTAAAGTACATTTGTATACAACCATACAATGGAATATTATGCAGTTTCTGAGCGCAACTTTTCCCTCTTGTCCTGGAATTGCAATTGAGGCCCAAAGTTGATGGCTGTAAGTGCTAAGTAGCCTCAAATTTTAAAGAACACCCCCAATGAGCCACCAATGGCTGGATCTAGACTCCCATCCCAATAGCTAAATGAGAAGGAGAGTCAGCCCTACTCCAAATGCCCCCCTGCCACACATCACAGTGTCTTTATAAGGAGGAGAAAGGGGACCAGGAGTCACTGGCCTTTGTCTCTAGTATTTGTGATAAGAGCCTTGTCCCTCCCTTCCCCTTAGGAAAGAAGAGGGTGACTTACCCGCCCCAAAGGCGGGTGATACGGGGAAAGTTTTCTCTAAGAGAATCACTTGGAAAAATAAGGGGAGTCTAGAGGGAAAAAAGATGGGTGCTGCTTTCCTCAGTTGGATGAGCAGGACTTTAGTAGGCTGGTAAATCGGAACATGGAAGGTGGGGTGCTGAGCCACAACAAAGCAAACCAGTTCTCACCCAAAACCCTCCAAAGGTTTGGCACTACTACCATAGATAAACGTGAAGATTCAGGGTCAGGCTGGAAAGTGTTTGAAAATAAGACAAAGATAGTTCCTTAGATTCTCTCCCTTCACCTGGACAATCCAGATTCCTACACCTCCTCCACTCTAGATGAAAACAGTAAGTTTACCATCGGGGATAGCTTTAACAATGAAGAAAGTGGGAGAGACATTATACCATACTGAAAACCTAGACATTAAACAGTGAAACCAACAGTCCCTCCCTCTTCAGTGTCCAGAACCCTATCAGCCAACCTTCCATCCCAAGAAGTACACAGAAAGATTGGAGGAAAGTGAATAGCCAAAAGAAAGACATGCAGATACTGATATTTGGGGGTTCTTCAATGTAAACCTGACCTGCCACCTTATCATCCTCCAGTGAAGCCCACCAATCAATAAAACCCTATCAATGCACACAAAACTTGCGATTAGCTTTTTATTATTTTTTTTAAAGATTTTTTTATTGGGGTATTGTGGGGAAGGGAACAGTGCTGGGGAATTGGGGGAAGGGGAACAGACAAGTTGCTGTCGTTTTGTTCTTCAGTCAGGTTGTGGAGGACGTTGCTTCACTGGCCTAAGTTGGCACCATCATTGCACGCTTCCGGGGCGAGGCACATCAGTCGCCGGCTTCCGGACGGCCGCTCACTGCGGCTGCTGGCCGCTCACGCTGGCTGCTGGCTACACACGGTAGCCCATGGCAACCCACTGCCACAGGGGCTGCAGCCTACGCCGTGGCCGGCGACTCACGGCAGCCCAGCTCCAGGTTGAGCTGTTGTTCAGCATCTTAGCTGTGGAGGGCAGTGTCACTGGCCCTCATATGTGGGATCCGAACCGGGGCCCTCTGGCATCCCAAGCCAGTTCTTAACCATTGTGCCACTCGGCCGGCCCGCAATTAGCTTTTTAATGCCTCATTCTTAAGTGTGAGTGGACAACCAAGTATTTCTAGGCATTTAAGTAAATTCTCTAGGATAGAAGATAAATATCAAAATAAATAGAAGAAAAGATCTTGGAGGAAGCAAAGAAAAAATAGATACCAGAAGAGGAAAAATATACTGTACTATGCCTAGAGAGAAAAGAATATTTCATCCATAAAACAAGGAAGGATGCTGTAAACTAAAAGAACAATTTAGTGCATAGGAAAGAGCTCTA